GGCGTATCAAATTTCTGTCACCTCGATTTGCGAATGAAATCGAACAGCACATGTTTTTAGCCGTTCGATTTCACTGTGTATGGCTGATAGCCATCCGACCATTCAGATGTGCTGTTACGATGACCGTGAGCGATTGTGATCTCGTGCACAGATGCGTGTTGTATGCAGTGTCGATTCGGTTACACCCTTCATCTAATTGACCTCAACGACACTGGGGATGAATGGGGCAAGGTCACCCTGCTTTGAACAGAGATTTCCTTTGAAAGTGACTCCATATTGAGTATGTGCTTGCGTTCGTGTGTGATTCATCACCAAGGTAACCCATATTATTGCGAAACTTTTACAATACAATGTTACAAAGCAGCAAACTCAACGGAGGTGATCTGCTTGGTTTTTTCTTCCTCTCTTTTTTTGAAGCATCCAGGCATGAGAGCTGTACGCTTGGGGGAGGAATGGAAGGATTAAGTGGTTTTCTGCAAGTAATTGCTTTGCCGGTTCTGTAGGGGTCTGTTGTTAAGATTACTAATAAAAAAATCAAATTTTCTAAATCTACAATCACCTCTGCTTTAGGCTAACACACATACACACACATAAACCTACTTAACTTTGATGAGAAGAAGTAGCTTGTCACATTGCTGGTCATAGTATACTCAAAATACTCAAATGACTATTTGCTCAAAACCTCACAAGTTACAGTGCTTTACGTTATTACATCCGAATTCTCTGCCCCGTGTCCACGTGTAGATTGCCGATTCAAATCTACGACCAACCACCAAAAACAAATTGTGCACGGCTGAATCGAGACTTGTGCCAATCACATATGATTTTCGCAGAAATCACACACTCTAGGCTGATGGCGGCGTTACCATGATTGTCATGTGGAGCATAGTGTTGCAGAAAGGAGTGATTGGCCGAATGTTTGTGAGAGACAAACTGTTTTTGATTGGGCAATCTCCACTCTGTTTTTATTATTTCCAGGGTTTAGCAATTGTTGATCGGCTCGTTCTTCTCCGTCGGGTTTCGCTCTCACTCGCAACCATCTGGAACTCAAATCAGTTTAGCTTTGTTGTAAAACTGAAGGATGGTGAGTTCTAATCAATCAGTCAATGCCTATATTACCCCACAACACTACTCACAAGTAACTGTGAGTTAAATGTGTGTTATAAAATTGTTCGTAGTTTAACGTGAATATGAATGGGGTTATGGTGAATCCATTAGCTACTGATACTCGCTTATGCGACGGGATTCCCATGGGAACAAACGACAGTGAAAAGCGATACATTGACCTCGCCCACATCTATGTATTCGAAATTTGTCCACCGATCACACTCTGTGCGATTGTAGATGGTCGAATGGGCCTTGATTCGAAAATGCAATATTGTGGTGCTTATTGCTCCTATTTGGGAGAACCTCGTACATTCCACGAGTATCAATCGAAGTACCAACAAGCGAGATCGCAGTATATTACTATTCATTGTTCATACAGCAGTTCTGTTACCTCAGTAGTATCATTTGAACCAAAGGAACGCATTCATACATAAATATTTTTCGGGCAAATAGTAAGTGACCAAGTAAATAATATAGTACTTAGTGGATCTCTCTCACTCGCGATATATATGTATGCAACTAAAACCTTGATTTCAAATCTCACCTGAGAAGTGTTCAAGCTTGCTGCAGAATACATTGGTCACAATAGCCGTCGTCTGGCTTGAGTGACAAGCCTTATTACATAACGTGGATGTGAACCACGTCTCTAAGATGTGACATCTTATTGACTATGGAACGGCTGCTACCCCGCGTTAGTCGTATCCGTGAAGAAAACACTCCTGTTCCTACTATCTAAACAAA